TCAGTGGTCCAAAGTCCTGTTGCTCAGTGGTCCAAAGTCCTCTTTTCCATGCCGTAATTGCTGTAAAAGGGGCCCGAGTACTGAGTACATATGCATGCTTATACTTTTCAGAAGTCCAATATTGTTCTATGTACAATCCTTGTTTTATTCTAATTTTCTGAGATGGTGGATTTGGGATTTTCATGAGCTGTACGCCATAATCATCACAATTATGACAAATCACGGCTTGAACTATCTTGCTTTGCATGTAATGAATCTTATCTCATATATTAATTTCACCTTTTAAGTTGCATTACTGAAATAAATGAACTTTTGCACAATATTCTAATTTTTTGAGTTTCACCTGTATATAAAAACATGCTTGTGTGTGTGTATGTGTATATGCTCCAGCGTAACTCTGCAACGCCTCGAGCAATTTCAACCAAACTTGGTACACAGATGACTTACTCTCTGCTAACAACTCTTCCCTAACACCCTTGGGGTGTGTGTTCTGTTAAGATACAGCCTGTTGTGCCTTAAAATGGCTTCTACTGTACTACCATAAAATGGCATCTACTATACACCTCAGTGGAGTTGCCATGGTAACGGCTTCAGAGTACTCCACAAGGGGGTTCCCTCGGTAAGGGAGAAAATCCAACATTAGAAATTATGTTTGGTCTGGACATTTTCATCCCATAAATAAATATCATCGGGTTATCAACTAGTAATTTTATACATTTTTCCCCATTTCTGTTGAATCAGTTTATTTTAGAAAGAAAAGGAACTGGTAGTTTTCACTTAAGAAGTGAGACTGGCAATTGTCTTTAAGCAATGCAGTTGTTAAGTGAGACTTCATGTGAGTGTGATGGTCTTACAACCTCATTTCCATAGCAGTTGTTAAGGAAATTACCCAATGGTCTTTAAGCAAGACATCTCATGACCATGGCTGGTGGTTTTACTGTCAGCTTTTCCATTGGCTTTGCTTGTCGGAAGCTGGCTGTGATACACAAAATGGTTATCACATAACTATAGGAGACTGCAACGGTTGTGAATGTCAGCCACGCACCACAGAGATGCTACGAAAATTGATCATAAAGTTATTTTTACAGTGCCATCATAACTTTGAATGGTCACAAAACAGGACAGTCATTAAGCCAGGATTGCCTGTATTTGAATTTTGACTCACATCCACCAACTCTCAGTAATTTCATGTACCATTCCTTATTAGGATTTCAGTTCATTTACCAACAAATTATGGCTATTATCTCATTTTTGTCCCTTATTCTTTTACCTTAGCTTATGTACATAAGAAAACAAGCAGAAAAGGAATGTTTTAAGATTCTGTGGAAGTAATAAATTTCTGTATAGCGATGTTCTCTTCTGTTTCATGCTGAAAAATAAATTGGGCAATAAAGTAAATTAATCTTCCTTTTTTCAATTATTTTGCTCTGAATGCACTTCCTTTTTTACATGGATATATTAACATCTTATAAGACTGCAAGATGAAGATGAGTCAGGCCATGTTCTTTGCTTATGCTTCAGGGATTGGCAATATGATTCCTGTGATACACTTTTTATGGTTAATTTCAAGAGACTGTTTAAATTTGTGAGTTTTCAGAGTAATGATTCTGAAAAATTGTACACTTTGCAGTCTCCTTAGATTTCAATCATTTTAAAAATAATTTTCTTCTTTAATGATGTTGCCTGTGCCATTATGCAAAATCATATAAGGGTGTCTGGATAGTTGCCAAAATCTGATTTACATTAATGCTGAATTTATTTGTAAGAAAAGTGTAACTTAGCTTTATTTTAAAGTTTTAAAGATCAGATTTTTCAGTTCATACAATATTTTTTTTTTATTTGTGTACCTTTTTAATTTGATTGAATTTAAATTTAATTAGGTGAAGTTTCCATTTGAAATTTTAGTAGTTCATATCCGTTTGAATAACAGAATATTATTTTCTACTATGAATACTAAAATAAAAGTATAAGTAGCACAATATAATCTGGGTTTCCACCGCAGTCATTGGCAAAATGGTTCAGTAAAATGCTGCTCAAACTTTCAAAGGCGAAAACTCCCAATTTACTTGGCTATTTTGCTGATTGAAATTAATTTGAAAATACCTGATAATATAATACTGATTTTTTCCTTGAATTAATAATTAACCGCTGCCCTTTTTACCTCTCAACCTCTAGGGTTATCTTCCTGCAAATACAGATAGGCGAGAAGGCACTTTGCAAAGAAAACGGAAAGAATACTTTGCTTTTGTTGAACAATATTATGATTCAAGAAATGAGGAAACTCACCAGGATACATACAGACAGGTAAAGGAATTGTTAAAATTGACTCTTAATGAGGGAAATTTCAGAAGTGTGTTCTGTAGCAAGAATATCCCTGTTATTTTTTGTTATACAATACTCTCCCAAACTGAATGGACATTTGAAATGCACACGTTAAAGTGATTTATCTGATCATAAGAAACAGGCTATGGTTTACCATAGGTCCTGATTGTCAGAGCCCCGGCTTCGTTTAAGGACAGCTGCAACTTTTTTTTGAGAAAGGGTGTATGCTTTTTTAAAAAAAATATTTGGTTAAGAATATATAATAAAAATGTTAATGTAATTAAAATGCTAAAATGTATTATCAAAAATTCAGTTTGCCTACCTCAGGGGTCGGCAACCTTAAACACTCAAAAGAGCCACCAACGTCCTAACCGGAAGGGCCCCGTTCAATTCTGGAGCCGACCAGAAGTCTCCTCCTAATGTGGCATCCTTTTTCTTCTGCTGGTCCCCCCCCCCCCATCCCGCCCCATAGTCTCCTCTAGCATGGCATCCTTTTTCCTGTACCTGTCCTAACTGAAAATCCTATCAATTGTGGAGCCAACCGACAACAGGGAGCCACAGCAGAGGGATGAAAGAGCTACATGCGGCTCCAGAGCCCCAGGTTGCTAACCCCTGGCCTACCCAGTTATGGAACACAGCCTTTGATGTATTGCACATAATCTAATATGGTCACTGACCTAATCCAACCGCCTAAACTCTAAACCATTTACGTTCTTCATTTCAGTATATTGCATCCTTCTATTCCTAATACACAGGTCATATTCAGTTTCTTCAGTCTTCAGATGCTTCCTTCTGGAAAAGAACTTTTGGTGTTTATAGCTTTTCTCCTAGGCTTTAAAATCCTGGCATTTGGTATCGATATGAGGATGCGCTATTGTTTCTCATGGAAATCAGGAAAGGATCTGATTTTGTAGGACTTGTATGAGACCTGCTTTAGCACCCGGATTTTTTTCTTTTCTTTTCCTCTCTTTTTCAACTTGTAGCTAACTTTAGAAAGAAATATACTGTAAATCATGATATAAATGGCAATTGGATTTTTTTTCCCTGGTCATTTTATGTAAATTTGGATCAATCATTCTATTTCTTCACGTTGTTTCCTTTTATTTCTCCTTTTAATGTTAAACTACCTAAAGAGTTGGGGAGCCTCAAAATTGAATTAAATGAAAAAAAATTGAAAGAAAAAACAGCAATTTCCAAATCTTATAGCTTCAGAAAGTATTTTTCTTTGTGACTGTAGCTGCGGGATCTCTCCACATATCAGAAACTGGTCTAACATTGTATAAAACACATATATTTGGTTTGCCCATGAGCTAAACAAGCCAGGTTTCCGCTATGAATAAATCTAATAAATGAATTAAATCTCATATGAGCACTCTGCTTTTGGTTCTGGTCATTGCTGAGGAAGACACATAATGTTTTTCAGGACAGTCTGTCACAAATTATCCATGAATGCCCCTTGTTCTGACCGAGGCTTCCCGAGAGCATGAAGCAAACTACTTGTCCAGACAAAAAACCCTTTTATTAATTTACTGTGAATTCTGCTCATTCACATCCAGCAAAGTCTTTCAAGGGAGGATTTACAGTCACAGACCTTATCTGGCTGACAGGCCAATATCTGCAAAACTTTGCAAGGAGTCTTGGAGAATCATGAACCAATTAGCAAACTAACTGTCTCCTGCAAACTCCATTCCCATTTTGCTTCTCTTTTATTTCCTCTGGGAGGGGCCATTCATCATCCACCTGTGGCCTTACTCCCAAGTCAACCCTTGTTCTTTAGCTGTTCCCTTCATCTGGCAATTCTGCGCATGCGTACCCTGGGAACAGGCTCCAGCTGATCTTCTGCCTTACTGATGTCTGACTGTGAAGGCAGCTGATAACTGGCATATGGCCCTGGCCCCATCTCTGCCTCTGATGCAGAGCCCTCATCAGAACCTTCCCCAGACTCCAGGACTGGCCCGTGTTCCTCCCCAACCTCCTCACTGTCCGAATCAGCTGCCAGCTCTGCTGGCCGCTGGCAGGCCACAAACCCCTAAAATATTGGAAACCTCTGTGTTAGATCAAAGCTGGGATACTTGCCATTACCTTCAGAAAAGGGCTGAAGTTCTGATTCCTCATCACTGAATTAATCTAGCAGTTTACTGAAGCTAAGGGATTGTAATCCACCAACTTTTAGAGATCATATAAGATTCACTAATGTAATTATATGACAGTTGTATACAATGAATTAAAAAAATAAAGAAAATTTCCTCCTTTTCATTTGGATGCCTGTAATTTCTTTTTCAAAGGATTCCTCTCTTTTAGAAAGCTAGGATACAATTTGATATTGAAAAAAAACAAAACTTCTTAGCCGAAGGTTGCTGTGTAAATCATCTGCATAAATTGTGTCTTATTGTTTGTCTTCATTTTGAGGGTGTTTGGGTAGCTGATGGTTTTTATTCTATTAACGGATTAAAGAAAAGATCAAGAATGTCATGAGTTTAACGTGGTTCAGGGATGATTAAACAGTATGCAATAACAGATGACACCCTATTTTGTAGCTGCAGAAGCATTTGACATGCAGAGAATTTTTAAACAGAAAATGCTATATAAGCTACCACTCACAATACTGAAATAATTTTTAAGTAGATATAAAGCTTTCTAAAAGATAAGACTCCTAGGAAGCTTAAAGAAATGTGACACCTGCAAACACATCCTGACTTGAACCTGCTTGTATATTTTGAAGGTTTCTGAATTTAACTACTTCTGTTACAGATTCATATAGATATTCCTCGCATGAATCCAGAAGCTTTAATTCTTCAGTCCAAAGTAACAGAGGCAAGTATAACCCTAAGGTTCTCCAATTTGTGTTTGGATATATAATATCATATTTTTTGGAGCATAATATGTACTGGAGTATAAGACGCACCAAGATTTTAAAGAAGCAAATTTTTTAAAAAAAGTTTTTGCACTCTGCAGACCTCCCAAAAATGGCCCGTTTTTCACAAAAACGGGCCTGTTTTTCATCAAAAAAGGGCAAGCATGGAAGCTTATAGAATGCTCCTGGGTACTGGGGGGGGGGGAATGAGCAAAAAATGGCCCGTTTTTCGCTCATTTCTGCCCTCTGCAGCCCCCAGGAGCACTCTGGAAGCCTCCTAAAGGCTATGCGTGGGTATTTTTGCAAAGGGGGCGGGGTTTCAGGAGGCCAAAAATGTTGTATTCGGTGTATAACACCTACCCAGATTTTCACCCTCTTTTTTTGAGGTTTGTCTTATACTCTGAAAAATACGGTAAGTTAGAATATATCACTCGAATATACTATGTTGAAAAAAGATATTTTCTTTATAAGCTTGTTGGATGTGTATGGTTTGCCAATCTTAATACAATAGTATTGTTTAGTTGAAAATGGGAAAAGCTCAAAGTCTGTACCAAGCATGGAGCTCTCCTCAGTAATAAAATGGGTCTTGGATTGTGCCGAGAGCTGTGCTTTGATTCAAGCAAGAAGTTGCTGTAACATCTCACCTAGTCTTGAACCTTATCAATCTAGTTCTGCACTGTATTCATGAGGGACTGAACTAAGTGACTCGGTTGCCTTCCTATTACCTTAAAACAAGAGTGCATGTCTAGCTGGAAACCCAGATACACGTCTCATGAAACTGAACTCTTAACCTCATTGTCACCCTACTTTCAGAATCCTAGAAAAAGAATGAGTAAAGTTAATTTGGAGAGAAGATAAATGCTTATTCTCATCCCAATGATCTCATTACTGAAGATGTATCCAGCATAAACAAATCCAGAATCTCTAAAGGGGACTTGGAGCCGCTTCCTCCTTTTTCCCTATTGGTCCCCCCCCCCCATTTTTCTCCTCATTCATCTTTTTTTTAAAAAAAGTTGCATGATTAGCAGGGAAATCAGATTATGTAAGCTCCATTTTCCCATTACTTCTGAAGTCCTTTAGAATATACCAAGCATTTCCTTAGCTCAGTCTACTACATTGCCCTAATGATATTCACAAGAAATGAATAATCTCAGATTATAGGTTAGGGGGAAAGAATCTGCAATTACACAGTAAGCTTTGGAGAGAAATAAGCTATTCTACTCTCCCTTGATATTAATCCTATATTGTAAAACCTTTAGAGCCTTGATGTTAATCCTATAACATAATACATCTCAATGATCTCAATATGTAAAGGCTGTACTATGTTAATTAGACTAATAAGTATACATGAAAGCTACAGAGCATGAACTTCCCAAAATATCTACGAAAAAAGAATCATTTACAGCAGTCCTTGATTTGAAATATTCCTCAATAATATTACATATCAATATGCCTTCCATAATAGTATGCCCTCCATAATAATATGCCCTCCATTGGGCATATCGGAGTGTCAGTATTATAGCTACAAAGATTGTTTACAAGACTTATGGGACTTGATAACTCTGATATAGGAATATCAATATATTCATTTATGGATATGAATATGCTTTATGGACATTAAAATTTTTTAAAAAATGTATCTGTCTTCAAGCTTCTTACTGCTTTATATTTGTTACTTTAATATTCTGTAAAAAGGCTGGAATTAGCTGATTTCATTGCTGTTTTTTCAAATTCAGCAAATATTTATATATGGAATTTCCATAAAAGTACAATATATTAATGGCTAATTCAGTTTTGTTAGCTGAACACTGTATATTAACACTGTTTAAATTCTGTTATAAATGTTACTGTTTTCCAAGTGCTAGGCATGATTCTTGCATTTTTATTGTAATGTGTGTTTAACAACATCACCAAAATCTTGGTGCTAATTTGGTTTTCTGAATATGCACTGAGATCTCAAGTAGGCTTATTGAGATGCCTCACCCATCATTTAACTGTTTATTTTTTATTTTTACTTAATATTATATTTATATCCCATTTATTGTTCATACATTCATATAAGGTGCTTCTAATAATTAAGAAATTGCAAATTATGATATATAACAAAAATATAAGTAAAATTAAAATTAAATCCCGTATCATTAAAATCAATTAAAAGTTGGTGAAAGGGACACATTTTTATGCCCTTCTTCTGAGTATCAAAACTTGGTTGTTAAATATATCTTGTTAGAGGTAGTTTCCATTGGATAAGAGCCTCATAGGAAGAGCCATCTTCCACATATCCAGTGCAGTGGTGGGATACAGTGGTGGGATTCAGTTTTTTTTCCTAATAGTTTTGTAGGCGTGGCTTGGTGGGCGTGACAGGGGAAGGATACTGCAAAATCCCAATTCCCTCCCCACCCCACTAACCTGCTTTCCAGCTTTGTTCTCCTGTGCAGGGCAACAAAAGAACCACCCAGCCAATCAGCTGGGACTCGGGAGGCAGCAAATAGATGGGGCGGAGCCAGCCAGAGGTGGTATTTGCCGGTTCTTTGAACCACTCAAATTTTCCGCTACAGGTTCACCAGAACTGGCCAGAATCTGCTGAAGAACTGGCTGAATACCACCTCTGATCCAGTACATGAATTTCGAACATATGTGTCTTCTGCTATAATTATATTTTTGTTCCTTATAATTTCCCCCCTAGATTTTTGAAAGAATTTTGTTCATCTGGGCAATACGCCATCCAGCCAGTGGATATGTTCAGGGCATTAATGACCTTGTGACTCCTTTCTTTGTTGTCTTCACTAGCGAATATACAGGTAAAAATTCATCTTACTTTATACATTGCTTTAATCTGATATTTTAAGATTATTGTTGTCGTGTGTTCCTTGACATTTATGTTTTTTGAAAATGCACGGTGTATAAAGAATCACCAATTAGTTAAATTTTCATTTTTTATCTATTTTGTTTTTTAAAAGAATCCCACCTAAGTTATTTTTATAAATAGCTCAAGATAGCGAACATACCTAATATTCCTTCTTCCTCTTATGTTCTGGGTGAGTTGGGGTGAGAGTATTCTGACGTAGGCTTCCTAAAAGCACGAAGCAGACTCCTCATCTCGATAAAGCCCCTTTTATTTAGTTTAAGGTGAATTCCTCTCCAGCAAAGTCCTAGCCAACAGTCTTTCCAGAGATTTCACAACTACAGACCTTTATCAGGCTTGAAGAGCTGCCAGGCCAATATCTTCCAAATGCCACTGTACCAGACAACACTTGGCAAGAAGTCGGAAATAGATCTTCATCCTAATGAATTGAATTAATTGTCTCCTGCAAACTCCACTCCCTCTTTTATTTCCTCTGGGAGGGGCCTTTCATTGTCCACCTGTGGCTTTGCTCCTGAGTCGACCCTTGTTCCTTAGCTATTCCCTTCTCCTGGCACCTCTGCGTATGCGCACACTGGGAACAGGCTCCAGCTGTTCTTCTGCTCCATTGCCCCATTCTGCTCCAAAGGCAGCTGATAACTATCAGACGGCCCTGGCCCTGTCTCTGCCTCCAATGCAGAGCACTCATCAGAGCTTTTCCCAGACTCCAGGACTGGTCCATGTTCCTCCCCAAGCTCCTCACTGTCTGAGCCTGCCACCAGCTCCACTGGCAGGCCGCAACAGAGAGTGAATGACTGGCCCAGAGTCACCCAGCTGACTTTCATAACTAACGCACGACCATAACTCATAGTCTCCTGATTTCTAGCCTGGCACCTTAATCACTAGACCAAAGAAATTGAAAGGTTTTCTTTTTCTTTTTTGTAAGAGTACATTTGATAGATTCTAACATCGATACTCCTGGTGTATTTAAATCTTTGTGCTCAGCTCCTCTCCATCCTATAACTCAATTTGCTTTCTATGCCTCATCAACAATTTAGATTGATTTTGTTTGATTAAGGACAGATTACCCTTGAATGCATGAAAATCTGTCCATTTACTGATTCCATCTATTGTTTCAGTGCATGGAAAGTCTCCCCCATGCCCCCCTCCCCAAACTGAGCAGCTAATGAGAATTACTGCAGCTTGTTCTCCTAATAATCTCTTAAGTAGGAAAGGGGGCTACTCTAGAGAGTGTTTATAGTTTCTGCCTTTTACTCCCTGATTTGACAGATAATGAAAATGATGTTAATGAGCCTAGAACAGTAGGGTTTGTGCTGGTGTACTTTAGAGTTGTTAATTGAAATAACTTCAAATGAGATGTGATTAGAGGATTGATATTCCATGTTAAATAGACCATTTAATTAATATAGTAAATATGTTGGTCTTAAGTACTTTACCATCAATTTACATTGCAAATCCTTAGTGAGTTGTCTGTATTTCCTGAAATGTTCTCTCTACAGATAAAAAAATAACTGTCTAATGTCCACTTGTAGCAACTGGTCATAGTACCAGGGTAAGGTTGTCACTACGTCACCTTTAGAATGGAAGACACTGCTGTGTTACACTAATGGAGAGATTCTCATTGTGATACTTGACTATATAACTATGCTTTCTCTTCATTCTCTTCTGTTTATTATGCCTTGCCATACGTTCTCCAGGGTAGAAGCAATAATAGATGTTTTGGTTAGCCCAGTGGAGAAGAAAGTGAATCTAGTCTTCTTGGCTGAGTAAACTAATGGCACTAATTACTGAATGCTAAATTGAAAAGCTAGAAGGAAGACTGGAACTCGGTATAAGGCTTCTTAGTGTCATGACTGGGAAATTCAAATCAGCTTGTAAACTTGTGAAAGTTCTTGCATTGTACCATGGTTCCCTGAAAATAAGACACGGTCTTATTTTCTTTTCACCCCCAAAATAAGCACTTGGCCTTATTTTCGGGGAGGTCTTATTATTTTTGAGGTGCAGGAGGCGGCGAGCATGGTCACCTCATGGCTGCTGCTGTGTTGCAATATTTTCAGGGAGGGCTTGTATTAGTGCATGCGCTCAAAAGCCCAATTGGGCTTATGATCCGGGGAGATCTTACTTTCAGGGAAAATAAGACCTGTATATTTTTGAATAAAGAAAAATAAGAGTAGTGACCTACATACCTTATACTGTCAGGACAAGACCTCATGCAGGTCACTATGGAAGGGAAGACGTGAAATGGATTGTGCTTCACTAAGTGTTAATTTGAAGTAGCCCTGCTGCAAATTAAATGTTGTTGTTTTTTTTAAAAAAAATCCAACCTCCTAGATCTGCCATTGCCTGTAAAAAAATAGCTATTTGTGGAGCATCAGTATTGTTCTGTTTCAATTAGCGATCAATTTGAAGAATTTTGTTTGGAAGGAATGGTAATAAAAACTTGCTGGAATAGGAATTTAGTGCTGTTGGTGGGGGTGCGAGGTTAATTGGGTTCTTCCTTTTATTGTGCAAGTTATTAATTTTAGAGGCCAAACAGGTTGCCTAGTAGGGCAGGATCTAATTGACATTAGTTTAAATAATTGCGAAGAATCCTTTAAGTACAGCTTGGAATTATTGATTGTATCACGTATTTTAATGAAAGGGAACACCTTCCGTTGTAGAAGTTTTATTTTTATTTCTGCTTTTCAATTTAGGGTGAAGTTTGGTGTAGTGGTTAAGGTTTCAGATTAGAAACCAGGAGAGTGTGAATTCTAGTCCTTTCTTGGACACAAAGCCAGCTGGTGACTCTCTCTCACCATAGGAAAACAGATAGTGGCAGCCACTTCTGCAAAAAGCTTTGCCAAATAAATTTCAGGAACTCATCGAAGCAGTCTTCAAGAATCTGACTCGATTCCATGGAAAACAAGAACAACAACTCCATTTCATATTTGATTTGTTCTAGTCAAATAAGGCTAAGAATTTTCTGTCAAATTTTATTGGTTTAAAAATAGTCAGTTACTTGAACTAACAATCTTTGTAGAACCTCCACATTTATGGAATAAAAATTTAGGCCTACCCATAATTATTAACTCCCCTGCTGTTATACCCGCTTTCCCAGTGCTGGCACAGCTGACTTTTCACCCTAATTTCTTCTGCAGCTAATTCTGGTTAACTTATTTAAACATTGATTAATTTTTATTGCTGATGAATTATTGGGGAAATATAGTTGCAGAAAACAAGTTTGAATTCTTAAGTCATTGTTTTAAATCACTTTTAGCCATTTTTAACTGCATATTCTTTTTTTTAGCTTTTATTATCATGCTCGTAATACAGTTAGTCCTTGACTTACAACAGTTCATTTAGTGACCATTTATAGTTACGCCACTGACAAAACCTACGACCATTTTCACACTTACGACCATTGCAACATCCACATGATCATGTGATCAAAATTCAGATGCTTGGCAACAGACTCATACTTATGACCGTGGCAGCGTCCCAGGGTCATGTGATCCCCTTTCTCAACCTTCTAGCAAGAAAAGTCAATGGGGAAACCGGATTCACTTTACAACCAGTTTATTAACTTAACAACTGCAGTGATTCACTTAATAACTGTGTCAAGAAAGGTCATAAAATGGGGGGAAAGTCATTTAACAAATCTCTCACTTAGCAACAGAAATTTTGGGCTCAATTGTGGTCGCAAGTAGAGGACTACCTGCATTTTTGCTTGGAAAAGTTATTTGAGGGAAGAATTTAACTGTGTCCAAATCATCTAGAGTTCACTTCTTTTATTCACTTTGTATATATTAGCTGATCAAGATCTAGTCTATCTTGCTAATAAATTGTTAATATCTGAATAATCCCTACTTGTCTTTTGTTAAGATTTTTTAAATCATGTTCATATGATTTATACACTCATAATACTGCCCTAGCATCCCACCCCATTCTTGCTGATATTTCATTTAGCTTATTTTCTTGAAAAAAGTTTCTCAGAGTTTGTATTAGTTGTTGCTTGGCTGCTGCATTGTATAGCATTACACTGTCAGGATTAAAAAGCCAATTATAATTAAATGGTGTAATATCTTCTAACTTAAGTGTAATGATCATAGAACATAGAACAGAGACCCGAGGTGGCGCAGTGTTAAATGCAGCACTGCAGGCTACTTCAGCTGACTGCAATTCTGCAGTTCGGCTGTTCAAATCTCACCGGCTCAGGGTTGATTCAGCCTTCCATCCTTCCGAGGTGGGTAAAATGAGGACCTGGATTGTTGTTGGGGGCAATATGCTGACTCTGTAAACCACTTAGAGAGGGCTGAAAGCCCTATGAAGCGGTATATAACTGCTAACTGCTATTGCTATTCCTATTGCTATTGCTATTGCTATTGCTATTGCTAT